GATAACGTACCACACTGCTAGATAAAAATACATAGATCCAGAGACACCAAAATTAGTCCACAGGTACTGTGCAGATAAAATCTATATAAACACAGGCCTTGTACTGACAATAAGTTGCATGCAGTTATATCACTAAGCATTTTACAAGGATTTGAAGCTCTTGGCATACCACCATGTAAATATTACTACATCTACTCTGTAAACTTATTTTCATGTACAACAGCAACAGAAGCATTTCTACTCACTAGCAGTATCATTAAGCCATCTCCTTCTTCTCAGATGCTCTAATTAATAGCTCTCAGGGATGTTTCCTTGGGCAAGTGAGTGAAAGATGTGGCAAGAAAACATGCTCTTCATTTCCTTCTTTTTAACTTTCCCTGTTTGATTTTCCTTTCTTCCTTCTTCCCCTTGTTTCCTGAAACATTTTGTCTCTTTTCCAGCTTGTCTCCACTATTCTGTAGTTCCATTTTATTTTCTCCTCATCTGTTTTATTTTTTCTTTTTTTTTTAAGGTAGAAGTTGGAACAGCACAGCCCACTTTTGGATTTTTCTTTTTCTTCCTGCTTGTCTTTTCCTCTCATCCAACTATCTTATCCTGATCTCTTTTTTGTCCTTTCTCTCTCTCTCTCTCCTTCTCTCCCTCTTTGACAGCCACCTTCCTTGACTTGGTGTTGACATGACATGCTTTCATCCTCTGTGCAAACAGAATGACTTATGTGACCTTGTCAACAACAGAAGGCATATTTCAGAAAGACATCTGATCTGGGAGACCTTTCAGGCTTTTCATGTGTTATGGTCGCTTCTAGAGGAAGGTTCACATATAAGAGTGTTCAGCAGTTACTAGATACTCAAAGATATTTTATTTCCCATTATCACGTTTTTAGGAATTCTATTTACATTCTATTTTAAGCATAAGAAGGCTGAGTGTTTTCTCTAGATTACTGGAAATAACAAATAACCAGAAGTATTTAACAGCTGTGTTTAGTTAGAAAGCTATCTCCAACCTACTGTACAGTAGAGTTGCCTCTGGCACAAACACAACATTGTTAAGGCTGACTATCTACTACCTAAAAAAACAGTTTTTTTTTTATTATTGTATTGGATAAAGGGTTTTTCTAAGAGTGTAAGAGGATGTCACTCTCATAATTGTCATCTTCATCTAGAAGCCTTTCTCAATTTTCAGTTACTGTGTTCTCACAGTAATCCTGACATACAACCAATTTCCAAGCCCTTCACATAAGTAAAGGAAAATCAGAAAAAGCTTTTATGCTGTTGCTGTTTTTCTCCCCGGAGTACGGGGATAATTGATACTAGTGTATTCATGTTCCAGTTGTGGAACTGGCAGATAATGAAGAGAGGTTCCAGAAGGAGCAGCATAACTACAGCATGAACATGCAAGAAGTGTACAAATCCAGCAACATTATTTTTACTGGTTTTGCTAAATATTCTGGGTTCTCAAGTGGCCTACATCAATTGCAATTCTTTCTATCAAATAGATGTTTAGATAATAGTCCTCTAGTACTCTGCAGGAAATGAATTTTGTGATAACATCACATATTTCCTATGATTTTTATCAGAAAACTTTGCAATTTATGTCATTGGTGAGAACCACTTGCCACATATCACATATGAAAAGATTATAGACAAATTCAAAAAAACACTTAAGATGGAACATCCTTGAGAGTCTTAGCATAGATTTAGAAACAAATCCAAGAAAAGACTAAGTCTCTTCTAGAAATCATCAAGAGACATTCCCAAGGTGCAGTATATTGTATAAAAATAGTCTTAAAATGGGATGTTGAGATGTTGACCTATTACGAAAGCATTCTCAAGAACTGCAATACACAAACTAAGCCCACTAAATTTAAGACAGCCAGGAAGCACAGCGGTTGAATAAAGAGTAGGAAGAATCCATACCACTCTCTAGTGGTTTGAGATTTTCAACTGGACAGCAGTAAGGAGAGAGAGCCAACCTGTGAAAGAAGCTAGAGATGTATCATTTGGACAGGCTCCTGCATCTCAGTAATTTGTCTACATTCTATTTGTCCCACTTTTCATGCATTCTCTTGAATACAAGGAGAGAGGAGACCCCTGTCTTTGTAGCAATGTCTATGTTTCCTGTGAATAGTTTAAAAATACACTAGAAAATAGGAAATACATCTATACATTGTGGTGGCATGTAATCCATACAATAATCAATTTTCCAGCTCCACAGAGGCAGACACGAACCATCTTTGATGGAATAATTCAGTAATTTAGCAACTAAAAATGTAGCCAGCAAAGATTAATTCTATCTGTGCATAGTCTGATCAATACAGAAAGTAAGTAAACTTGACCCTTTAGAAACAGACTTAGGTTGAGGTATAGCCCTTGAGATAACTTGGTAACTCTCTTTATATAGGTAGTTATTTCTAATGATAGAAGCTTAATCTGAGCTATTTAGATGTGGCCCCCACATAATAAACAAGGATGAAAAACTTCCTCTATTGAAATCAACAGCAACCTTGTGATGCATTGCCCTGACGATTTCTCAAGTCGTTTTGAGACCATGAGAGTCATGAAATTGCTGCCCACTGAAATCCTGTGTTAGCATGGCCACAGCGGGTATCAGCTCACTGGGATGAAGAAATGGATCGTCTTATGGCACTGTGCTATTCTACTAGTGATGACTTTCACATGTGCACAAATCTGTACTTATGAAGTACCACCTGGTACCACAAGGTACCACTTAACACATACAGATCCTTCTGCAGGCAGGAAGGATATATTGCTAACTTATATGGCCTATATGACAGAAATACAACTCTTGACAGGATAACATAGTCTGGTTAGTAGCTTTTGACATTTATCTTTCTATGCAATGATGAACCTTGCTGCGTTTCTACAAAGCTTTATAAACAATACCAGTAATGGGATTGCATGGTCCTTGGGTCTTGTGGAAACGAAAATATCATCAGCTCATTTCCCTTATGTTTTCCTTTTCTACTGAGGAACTTTTTAAAATATGAATACTTTTAGATGTTGAAAAAAAATGTTGCTAATAGGAGTCCTATCTCTGAGTATTACCAAGATATTACTGCGTATGCAAGCAAATGTTTCCATATGATTATAGACAATGTTCTAACAGTGAAGAGAGAAGAAAGGGGGAGAAGAAATAGGAAGAGGAGAACACATTACTATAACCAAACAAAGCAGTGCACACAGTGGGGCACAAACCATTTCTGCCTGGGCCAATGCACTGAATCAGGACAGCCACTTAAACAGTTGTTCATATAGTCTTGAATACAGTCCCTTTGAGACAAATGGTTGTGACATACGACTACTCTTGAGTATTTTGATATATATTCATATTACTAATAAAAATATGACTGCTATTATTAGAGACACATATTTTATGGCTTTTTATTCCTTTTCGACTTGAAGATTTTGCGGGATAATATTGACAGCTGAGCAACCTGTTACAGCTGGTCACAGTATTTCTGTCATAAAGATTTGAAAATATGAAAAAGTAGGGAATCTTTTCTGTGTGGAAGTGCTTATTTTGCTTGAAATTTTCCACTTATTCCACTTATTTTGGCTTGTTTTCTAAAAAGAAATGTTTTTAGGGAAAGCACTGTGAAAAAAACCTGGACAGAGCGTTGACAGGTGAAGCAACATTTGAGCCCAGATCACCAGGAGCTGCACCAGGTGCTGCAGGGGAAGCTCACTGAGAACAGGGACATATCAGCAGCGATGCCCTAACAAAAGCACCCAACTCTCACTGACAGATTTCATTCTGCCGAGGGAACTGAACCTCCTCGGTGAATTTTGTTTCCCAAAGTTAGGCTCTGGCACAACCACTCTTGGATTCAGAACAATTATCACTGATTTGGTGCAAATGTTGTCTAAATGTGCAAGAAAAGAGGAAACTGAATGTTTATTCCAGCAAAAAATAACAGTCATGCTTTCTGACTTTTCTGAAACTGTACTGCCAGAAATCTTACCCTTCCACCAAGGGCACCTCTAACAGAAATATTCCTAGGCCAATTTCCTAGAATTTCCTAGTCAGAATTGTAACTCTACTAATAAAAAAAGTGCTAGCATCTTATGGTATTTTAAGAAGAAAAGGTTTCTCCTCACACCTTCCATCCTCATCTCCTAAACCCCTTCACATTATGATGGGCAATGTATCAGAATTAATTAGCATGAAAGCTGGTGAAGATAAAATGATGGCTCAAACATCAGAAGGAATTAGACTGAAAGGAGGTGAAAAGCCCAACAGCCATAAGCCTCCCCTGTGACCGAGAGGAAGGAACACTTGGATAAATAGAGACTGACACAGCAAACAATTCCTTTACAAAAGACTTTCACAAATGCCTTCCACAATATTTCAATTCAAAAACAAAAATGTCTAAGATGCTTGCACACAATTAATTTCATCCAACTCTACTATGTCCAAAAATCTCAAGCAAAAAACACCTTCAAATATTTCAGCAGGTATACATTTCTACAGAACATGAGCTGTATCTGCTGTTTAGCTATGACATAGAGAGGACTTCCCCAACAGTCTTACTGCAAGATTCAGCATCTTTAACAAATAGGTTTTTACCACAAACCTTATCATAAATGATTCTGTACCATTCAATTAAGTTTTAATGTCATTTTCAGGGCCAGATCTGTCAGTCGGAACTTTTATTTTACTGGAGAGGCTGTTTTGATTCAATTTCCTCACGACCATGATGATGATGTCAGAGAGGTATTCTATCACAGAAAACAGCCCTTTCCCCAAACCAGTCTGGGATGTAGGAGACACAAGATAAATCCCCACATTGTTTCAACCTGATGTAGATTCAAAAATGAGTCAAAGACTCAAGGAAGGGAAAGTTTTACTTTTGCTCACCAGGAATGTTCCTTAATCAATTCTGTGGGGATTAGCTCTGATTGTGTGCTGAGTCAAGTACATGGAAGTCAGCATCTTATGTGTTTGTTTATGGAAGGAACTGTTTGCATCAATTTACTCACCATTCCATGATTTAGCCATGCTGGTATAAAATTATCGAGCAGCTTCGGGTAAACCAGCTCCCTGTCATAGATATAGATGCTCCAAAACATCGTTACAACAAACTAAAAAATGAAAAAAGAAAAGAGAAAGACACTTTTATATAAACACTTCTGAGCAATTAGCTACACATTTTAGACAGCAAAACTGGGCATTTAGCAAATGATCTATGAACAGACACAGATTGCTCTTCAATCCAATCTTCTTTTAATGTACAGTGTGGATTTTTTGTGTTAACTGGAGTTAAAATTTTGTTTTCTTTCTTTTGACATTCAGCCTGGAAAAAAAAACATTTTTGACTTATATGCCTGTGGCCAAGTTACAACTGAGTTCTGTATTTTAGTAGCAGCTGTGGCACATAAATAATGTTTCACCACTAGCAGGAGAGAAAGCAAATGGAAAAATGGGTAAAATCTCATTTAGAACATACAAACATATAGAACATATAAATATGAGGCATTCACCCCAACATTAGTCTATAGACTGATCTTTGCACTTTTTCATGTCAGCTATCACAACAGGGCTATTTAAAAAATATAACCCTTGAAGTATTCTGCACACAATCCATGGACTGGGATCCGCAGAAAATGAATTCTAGTGTCCTACTCATTTTCAATATGAAATTTGCCTTGGCTTTTGTCAGAGACCATTTACTAGGAGAGAAAAGAAAAATCAATATTCCCTCTAAGCTGAGGCCACGATCGGACAGGACAGGACAGGACAGATGACTCAGACAGAAATGTGCACTAGCCTAAGCTTTTGCCAAAGAGTGCACAAAATCCTAAAAGATACCCTGATGTTTGAAGCAGAGACAATATTAAAACACCTTAGCTCAAGAGAATACAAACTTCTAGTCAAAATACACGTAGACTTCTAATCAAAACACAATTGCCATTTTTCCTGGAATTTAAGGTCACAGAATTTGGTAATAAATGGCCTATTGATTATAGCAGTAAAACCAGGTGAGCCAGGAGTTTTTCCACAACAATTTTCAGGAGACATAAAGAGATCTTTGCACAGTAGTGGCATGACCAAGTTTGGGATACAACAGATAGGGCTCTCAGTGAAATGGGCCCACAAGCCCATGGTCACGTCTGAACCAGCGCGGCCTGCTCACTGTCTGCTCTGATGCGTTAGGGTTCACATGGGTGGACAGTAAGAAAAAAGGAAAGAAATACAGCATGAGCACAGCAAGGTCAGCAAATTACTAGTATGTGTGATAGTGTAGGTACAAGCTGTTTCATATGTTTTTGACATTGGAAAGTTAAAATTGAGGTAACAGTTTATCAATGGCACCTTGTTCTAAGCACAGACCTGCACACTCGGGGCAGACAGCTATGTGAATGATCTGAATTACTACACTGTTCCCTCAGTGCACATACAGTACATAGTTTCTTGGTTTCCAACACACTTGTCCATCTGTTATGATGGCTACTGGTGCCTGCTCAGATTAAGCTTGGACCCTTTGACTAGTGCACAGATGCCAGGAAAAAAAAAAAATGATGATGATGGACAGCCCGAAAAATATTGCGAGTGTAAAGTACCCCACAAGAAGTCTCTTTTTTGGGCCAGTGTTGGCACTGGCACAGCATAGCTTTTTACACACCTGCTGACACATAAGCGCCAAAGTATGAATAGCTGAACAGCAGGGAAAATGGAAGCAAAGTATCCTTATCTCTATTGGCTTCCTAGAAGTCCTGCATTATTACAGTGGGTCTCTGAGAACCTGCTAAGACCAACGGGGATATAAAAACAGGTTCCCACGTATTTGAAGACCAAGACTGATAATGTTTTTTTTTCCAGGGAAGCCTTACAGCAAGGCAAATCACCTAAGCTGACCCTTATTGCAGTGAATACAAGAAGCTGGCATGTTTTGACCTGTGATTTTTGTGAGGAGCAGAACAAAACAATAGACTTTGCCAAGAAGGTAAACGTAAGAAAAGAGGGGACGTGCCATCTGTCCCCTAACCGACGTCAGCCAACGGATGGAATGAGATCAACCTAGCTGGTTGCAACCATCTGGAGTTACAGACGGCACATGCTGCTCAGCAAAGCACACAAGGTAGACATAAGGTAAAAGAAGTGATCAAAAAACACAGTGTTGGAGAACTAATCTATCACAGAGGACATTCAGGCATGCGACTAGCAGTGTCCTGGAGAAGATCCCATCCAATGCCTAAATAGTTCACTTGCACTTTTTTACAATTATTAGTTCATTTGGATAAAATAAGAACTATAATGAGGACATGTTACCTAGCTTCCTTGGCTGGTCCTGATTTTTTTTTTCTTTTGATTAATAAGCACATGTTGGATTTGTAGCATTCTTATACCTTGGTATGGCAGAATTTTATTTGGGTTGGGTTTTGGCTAGATCACATGCAGCCATACAGTAGAAGACCAGAATTTAGTGAGCTACCACTCCATATTGCCCGTGTAAGGCCTACTCAGAACTGCATCTCCTGTGCTTACGATCACGTCTTCCTTGTGGCACAATTCAGTATTGCTGTGGACAGTGTCATTTTACTACTCTTGAATGCTGAGCTGAGCAGGCTGCTCACACACATGCGTACGCATACGTGTGCTGAGTCTTTCAGGAACCCTAATCCTTTTTTTTTTTTTCATACAAAGGCAAATGAAAAAATGTGGCTCTTCCGCTTCCTCTTTAGACAGAGCTGAAGACTGTATTTATTTCAGGGAAGAAAATGGCAATTGATTTTGAGCTTCCCAGCACAGGGGTGCCCTAACACTGTCTACTTTTCAAAAGCAGCAATTATCTTACTGGTTAAACAGCATGAGTTTAAGCAACGTACAAAAGAACAAGAGAGACCACCTACCCTATCCTGCTACTTATGCTATTCTAGGGACATTATAGACCAAAAACAACCTCAAATTTGCAAGTAGGCCCTGAAAATTGTTTGAGAATATGGAAAAGGTCACTTGCCACAGAGTATCACAGCAGCAAAATAGAAGGCTGAAAACAACACTCTATTTTCCACTCTATTAAGGATAAAAAATCCTTCAGTTTTTGCCCTCTATCTTCAAAGCTTCAGAGAAAGACATGAGAAGAACATGTGGCACTACCAAGGAAGAAATTTTAGAGAACTAATTGGGAAATGGTTAGTGATTCAAAAGGAAAAACAAGTGGCTTTATCAAAATACCACAAATAGAAGCAAAGAAAAAAATAACAGAGAAAAGCCAGCAAAAAGAATTGCATCATCTGCTGTTTTACATGAGCCCAACCAAGAAATGTTATGCAAACGAACAGCGAACCCAGCGGAACTTTGTTTTTTCCTGCACTATTTACTTTTGCTTTTACCTATGCTGTACAGCAAAGTTAATCAGTTCCTGGATGGCTCCAGGACGCAGGAAAAAAGGAACCCTTTGACCTCGACCAACATTTCTTTTGACCTCGACCAACATTTCTAAGAAAGCTGTTACTGAGTTAAAGGTAACCTTTCTGGCTGTCTCCCAAGACAGCTGTGATTAAGCATGAGTATAAACATAGTATCTGTGAGCATCTTTGAGGGTTGAAAGCATTACATACAGAAGCAAAGTGTTATTAAAAGCTGACTCTAGTAAGTACCAACTGGCTTTAGATGCGAACCAGTATTAGCTCAAAACCTCAGCAACTGAATGTGATAGAGGCCAGTGACGGAAATCACAAGAAGCTGCTGAAAATCAAGGAAGATTCTCCTTGCAGGAGACAGCTCAGCAGTTGCTTGTTTCCACTGCAACCTGCAATTTCAGGCCAGATGACAGCAGAATCCAAACTCAGATTTTAGCAGAGTCCTCTCCATTATGGAAATAAAAGTATTTTGTATGCTGTTCAAATAATAAAGGTAAGTAGGAGACACAGTGGCAAACACCTACAGATCTATAGCTGGGATAAGATCCCTGATGAGTGTTACTTATTTTCAACTGAAGAAGGACAATCAGCTTTTCTTTTGACTGTACTCATGCCCACTTAAAATACCACATAGAAACAAGAGATAAGGAGGCTTCTCTGACTTCATCTATTTTGGGCCATAGATTTTTTAAAACATGAGTGTAAAATAATAATAAAAAAAAGTGAGCACATTCTTGCCAGTTGAGTCTCAGATCGAAACAGAGATATTAAAGCTACAGAATATAAAATATCAATTGCACGGTTTGTGATTTTCCAGACAACAGTCTCTCTTTTAATACACAACAATATCCATTTTCTTTCTTCTTCTTCTTCTTCCTGCTTGTATTAAACACAGCCTTAAAAATCTAGAAATGACCAGTTTATCTCCTCCTCCTCTTGTATTGAAAAAAATACAAGAACCATACTGATAATACTATATACAGTTTACTCAAAATACTAATTAGACATGGAAACTTGGGAACTTCATGATCCATGCTGAACAAATGGAAGAGAAGGGATAGCCTAAAAACACTGATACAGGCACCTACAAGGTCATCTTTTCTTCATAAAGGCCATTTTATACATGGTAAATTATTCCCAATACGAAGTTCCTTCACATTGATAAAGGGGTGGTAGGTGCACCCAGGACAGATGAGAAACAGTAGCGAGCTTTTTAAATGCCTATGCAAGCATTTGTTTCAGCAGACATTTTCTGATTTCTCAGTCTTTTGAATAGCACCCTAACCTTATAATAAGCTAATAAGAAAGGGCTTGTAAATGCTGCTCAAAGAGATTTTCTAGGAATAATGCTTTATTGCATTGAATTTTTTTTCTGTTCATTTCTGAATTCATTTTTTAAGACCTTTCTTAGAAAGAGTAACAGAAGGTAAACAGTATTCATTAGGTCTTTCAAAGAAGATCATGTTTATTTTCTGGTGTTCCTAAAACTAATAGCAGTTTGGCAGTTCGCAGTTTTATCTGAGCCCTGGAGATATACAAGTCACTACGTAACACTGTAGAGATCTGATCTGCTGAAAAGATTTTGCAGGATTTGATTTGTTGCAAAGCCACCCAAGGAGACTGTGCCTTGGGCTGTGTTTTTTTTACTGTTTTATTTTCCATTCAAAGGTGGAAGGAGGTTCGTGGTCAGACTTCCCAGGTGGCTACATGTAGTACTTTTTTAGGAAGCACTGAAAATGAAAAGCTTTATTTTGTTCCTTTTTTTTTCACACATCATTGTTGGACTTGGGAATGGAACCCTCTTTTCTCATCTTTTTTTTTCAGAACAAACCATCTCAAGGGTTTCAGGAAGTAGGAAACCAAGACAAACAAATGTGATGATTACCTTTTGAAAAACTAGCTAATAGTCTTTAAATGTTCCCCTCTTATTTGCATTTTTCCCTATAGTGCCCTGTATAGGACACTGAGTAATAAAAGTGTTAAGGCAATCTTAAGTATTTAAGCACAAGCACTGCTGGTGCATTACAAACTGAGTATGGATTTTATTCATATCTTTTAATCTTTTTATTTTAAGATTCCATCATGTCACTACTCAAAACCACAGACAAATTCCATGGAAAACCAAGTGGACTATTCTCAAACAAACAAACAAACAAACCAAGCCCCACGTTTGGACTTTGTTCCCTTTGGAAGAGCCTGGGGCTCTTCCTACCCATCGTGACAGGGCAGAAACTGCCCCCGCCCATCCGCGGGTCAGTTTTGTCACGTTCTGCTCCCTGCCATGGTCCGATCCGAGGCTTCTGCAAGCAGTAACTGCAATGTGGTGGCTGCAACGACAGCGGATCTAGTTTCGCGAAGAAGCTGCACTTATGTGGGACCAGATGTTCAGAAACGTAAGCCTCAGGCAGGTTACTGAGGCCAGCGACATGTTCTGAAGCTCTTTTATCTCCCAGTAGCAAGAAGAAACAACACTAAAACTCAACCTTTTGGGGCTTTTTTTTTCCATATAGAATAAATTGAAAAAATATGACAATTGCTCTCTCTCGCTATGGGAAGGTCACCTCTAGAAATGAGGAGTATGAGTTCAATGAGCATGGCCCTTCTTACTATTTTCTAGAATTTGTGAGTAAAATGGAAGTTGTTTTGTGTATGATGCAAACTGTTGAGAAATGAGATAGTTTCTGAGTATGCAGAATGTCCCTTGGGAACTGCAAACTTGTAGATGTTGCAGCAGTGCTTCCAGCGCTGGAAAAGACTAGCAGGTACTGCTTGTTTATCAGTGGCAAAAGAAATAAAGCGTGAAAGAAAGGCTCAGAACACAGCTTAAAATTTCCCTCAGTATTGCCAAGAAAAGGAAAGCTGAGATTCTCCAAGATCTTGAAAAGTTTCAAGGTCAGAAACATTGCAACACCGATATCAGTATAGAGCTAAAAGGAGGAAAGAATCCCTGAATCCTGAATGTCAGAGCAAGCATGAGAAGACTAGCAAGAGAACCAAAAAGATTAGCAAAAGTGCATGTTTCAATGCATGCAAAGGCTTACGCTTACAGACTGAAAAAGGCACTTAAAAGCTTTAAATAAAGATAAATAATGTGATGTTGTTCTCTTTTATTTCTAGTATCAACACGGTACAAAAAGCATCTCCTGCCAATCACAATCACAACTACTTCATAATTCCCAACCTCCCTTAAAACACATATTTAATCATATATCTCTGCACAAATAAAAATCATATTTGCGAGCCTGTTTATTCACAGATTTTTACAAATGTGATAGCTGACATACGTGTTTAGCCAGAGCAGTGCAGTCATCGAGAAGGGTGGCAGTGCCCACGAGGTGAGCCATCCAGTAAGCGAAGGCTATCGACTGGGTGTTTTATGAAGGAAATACCTGAACAGTGTCTCACATATGTTTTGTATTCTCTAACTTTATTAAAGCGTTCTGTATTTCTTCACATATTGTGAAATCCCAAATAAATGGTGAAATCACTTTTTAATGAGGTATTTCTGAGTATATAAACATTTAAAAAATACATTAATACGTTGGATTTACAGTGTTGTCAGTTGTTAATTGACAACGGATGTTCAGCCATTGTGAAACAGTATCAGTGTTGAGGCCTCATATATTTTTCCAGTAGCCCTCCCATGACAAAAAGATTATTAATTCCAAAGACTGAATTTTGAACTACTGTATACTAAGTCTAAAAATTAGAAATAGCTTTATCCCAAATTCCAATAAAGTAATACTTCAATTAAAGGTACAGATTTTTTTTTACATACTAAATTTAGAATTAATTTGAACAGATCATACTTTCATACAAACACCTCTGAAATCCTGAATTTTGAACTGCTTTCAATGTGTGCTATGAGACCCTTCCAGACACTGGGTATTTTTTGTATTGAAATAAAATTGCAATGTCCTAGTAGAAAAGACACTGAACCAAAGAATAGCTTCACTTTGGAAAAGACCTGTAAAAACCCCTATTATTCAATTCTGTCTGTATTCTGCTTTTTCACACTACTGACAAAACCTTTCTTTTCCTCCCCCATTTTCTTCTCTTAGCTCTGAATGCCCTGTAGGATTAATACAAAGCAATCTAGATTTTAGTTTCCCTTCTTGTCCGTGACAGGATGGCTTAAATTCTGAATTCCAGTCAGGCTGCAACACTGTGAAAACACATCTCAGTCAGCACTTTTATTGCTACTGATGATGAGACAAGACACTGTAAAAGCACAGCTTGCCTCTTAAGATCCTACTGGTAAAATTCACATTTGAAATGACTTGTACAATCAAGGTCCTATTGTAAACTACGATTTTTCATTTTATGAAACAAAAATAATTTTAGTAGCATCAGTAATCTCTTATATGATGGATAAATACAGAGTAGTACAACCATCTTTACCATTTTTTTCTCTTTTTGCATCCTCTTTTGCCTAGAGGTGCAAAAAGTCTTGCAGTCAGAAACCAATCAGGAAACAGCCACCCCTCTCCCAGTTCAGTGAAGACACGAGGCGGTTCACACCACACTTACCACTCCAATGGGGAAAGCTAAAACAGCCATCATCCAGTCACGGAGGGAAATGAGCTTTTTCAGCTGCCTTTCTTGTTCTTGGCTGTCATTTCCCTTGGTAAGAAGGCTGGAAAGGTCGGTCAATACACAGATACCAAAAAAGACAGCCTGGATAACCTGCGCAGAAAGAAAGATGATTTTGAGCAGTGAAAATTTGTTTGAGCAGTGAAAATACCAGCCACTTGATAGAGAACAAGTACAGAGATAGGCACATGTGAGAATATCAGTGCAGATTTAACATGGGGAATGGGAAAATATCCATTGCTTAAATACAAGCAGAATTTGTTCACATAAAACGTAAGTCACTTGTGCTTTAAGACTGAGAATTATTGGGATAAGTCATATATTCACTTTAGTTTTCTAATGTTTTGTTCAAAATATTTATATTCTAAGAATACTAAAACAAATGCTCTGAGGAGGATGCCAGTGCACAGTAAATGTGCTAATTAGGTAATTAACGTTAAAACCTTAATTTGCTGATAGAGGGTTTGATGTCCATTACCCACAGGTCTTGTCCTTGAGTTTCCTGGAGGCTTCTGTGTATGCAGAGGGCTTGTTCCAAATGTGGAGCTCTCTACTACCTCCTTAGTGAAGACCAGACTGTAATCGTTACCCCTCCTTAACCTCACAAAGCAGGGCCCCAAAGCCACAGCATCCATCTGGATGGTGGAAAAAGTGAGAAACACTCCTAATAAAAGTAAAGGCAAAGGCAAAGAGAAGAGGCTCTTTCCTTTGTGTCCAGAGCAGTCTCTGAGGCCTCTCATTGCCTTAATCCACTCAGAAGTGAAAAACATTTTTGAGACTTTCCATTAAACTCACCATGTGCTAAAGATTTGGACAGAGCTATAAGTCCATTTCAGATAACAGCAATAAAACAAACACGTTGCTAGAGCTATTCAAGCTACTTTCTTTTCATGATGGAAAAGTGTCATTTACTTGTCATTGCATTTTCTGTGTTTAAGCATTTGCTTGTGATGTTGTGGGATTATCTACAGTATTAAATTGGTAATTTAATAATCTGAACCCATTGATTTGGTTCATACTTCACTTGATCTCAGCTCGACCATTCCTTTTTCCTTCCCTAACTACCTTAGTGAAATTTTAATAAGTCAGCTCAGGAATGTTCTTGCCTGAGGGCATATTAACTTGGTTATCCTTTTTAATACAGTTCAGAAGAAGTGCTCAGAGCTTGTTTACTCACTTAGATGGAAGCCTGGGTCACAAACCCACACACGCCGGGTAATCTCAGGTAAGAAATTAGCAAGACACTGGCAAGGTTCCCAAATTGTACACTGATTCATCAAAAAGCATAAGCATATGCTTAAAATACATTTTCAAAACGCTCATGGAGTACTAGTTCAAAAGTCTAGTTGTAAACTGAAGTGCTCTTCCACTCGGGACCTCAAATCAAGCAACAGATCATTAATAAAAAATAAGGAGGCACCCACATTTTGAAAAATGCATTTCATTGTGCAAATATTTTTGCAGAATTTATACTAGAATTAGTATCATTAAAAATACTTTTAGAACAGTAGTCCCAAATTTGGAATATGTTAGGGAAGAACAGGGAGGGAGGGAAAAAGTGAGGAAGTTAGAATAACATAATACTGGACCCTTCAATACCAAACAGATGCTGACTACTAGAAATAAATCCAGAAAAGTGTCATAGTTGGATGCAATAAAGTACATTCGCTCGCTACCTCAGCAACGGTTATATAACCCGAACAATGAGGCCAACAGGCAGAATGATGCACTCAAGTACTTGCAAATTCTAGCTGTAAAGCTGCGAGTGACAGACCTTCAAACAACCCCTGAATATCCTGTGTCATCATCAACATACAGGAGCTGCTTGTGCTTTTGCTGCCACTGCTCTCCCCTCTCCATGATGTAGGTACATGGATTTTGCTTGATAAATAGCACAGAACACAGATGAAGCCACATTCACAAAACATTCCCTGAAGCCACGAAACACGGCAGACTGCTAGTGTTGTGTATTCAGTTAGAAACAGGCATTATTTCAAATGAATGTTTGGAAAAGTTATCAGCTTCCACATAACTCTTGAAAGACATTTCAAATAAAATTTGGGGCTCCTAGGAGCCACATAATCATATGAACTCATAATGTTCTTTTTCATATTATGTGTTTGAAACAAGTATACAGCAGGAAAAAAATCTCCCCATACTCAGCCCTTTTTTTCTACCAAGCAGATGGCCCATTTGGAGAGAAGGAATTAGAAGAACAAATTTCTAACTAATATTTGCTTTCCTTAAGAGGAGATATGATAGCTGTCTGCTATTCACTCAAGAGTGTGAATGCCAAAGAAGGAAAAAGATTTAAGACAGGATTGAAATAAAAGTGTATCTAAGAGTAATGAGATCAATCTGGGTGTAAAACATTTAGGCTGAGTACCAGGAAATATTTCCTAACAGTGAATTCTATTAGACCATGGAATAGTTTCTCAGAGGAAGTGGTGGAAGCCTCATTGCCTGAGTCATTCAAACTGATATTGGACAAAACATTCAATAATGTACTGCAGGGAACAATATTGCACTGGCAGGGGTTGGACGTGTGACTAACAGACTTCTTGCAGCTCTAACTATGACTCCCTGAAATGATATCTATCCAGAGTAACATAGACTCAAACAGCCTCACACCCACTTTCCAAGGGAATTGAAATGGTACATCCACTAGTCAATCATAAACTGAGTAACTTCTCTTCCCATTATACTGTTATGAACACAGTGTTTCAAGGGAAAATATAACGATATCACAGTGAATAACCGAAAATTCCTAGAGGGAAAGAAAGTACCCAAGATTTTAGAGAGTAAACTATTCTATGAAAATAGTAAAGAAAAAAAAAAGGAAACAAAAAAGTACCATAAAAATCTATACAAGAAAGAAAAGAGTACATATTTACTGAGAACTGCTGAACACTGAGGACCAATGAAAAAATCTCAGTGTTCAGGAAGAAATATTTCTAGCTTATTCACAGAAATAACTTATGTATGTTAGTCATAATGTTTTCTTTCCTTTCTAGAATGTGTAAGAATATTCTTCTGACAGGATTAAACTGAGGACCTCCAGACCGGCAGGAGTCTCAGCAGCATAAACTAAACAGCCGGAGCCAGTAACAATTTACATCCTTTGTGGGTCTGGCACAGGAAAAGTATAACATACAGCTATTGGTATTTTATGGTGTGAAAGAAGTTTTTAAAGTTTATGCTCTTTAGTGTGAATTCTGCAAAACAGATATGAAAAGTTCACAAGGGACTAGAATCTCCTTCTTACTAACATTCTCCAAAACACCCTAATACTACCTCTCATTTTCAAAACAAGGATCTCCTTTGTAACATCTGCAGGTGGCCAGTCTACACATGGAACAGTCCTAGAATGTTAAACAATTAATTGCCTTATTTTTTTTTTCAGGTAAATGTAAGCAATAACAGCAGAACGGAGGAAATTTTTCCAGTTTTTTCTTCTAAGTACAGTTCGAAGGAAAACATTTAGAAAACAACAAATACAAATCTGACAGAAAACGGCCACACCTTCCTTACATCATGTAAATGAGAAAGAGGTTTTTAAGTGGAGTCCTCAAGAATAAGCTATTAAAACAGTCATAAAATGTTACCTTAGTGCAACCCTCCTTTCTTCTACTGAAGTCTAGAGGGGCCAACAGTGATGTGATTGATACTATAACACTCACAAGGCACTATAACACTCTGGTAAGTAATGAAAATTAATGGCTGTGCCAATCTACAGGTATTTCAGTAATACAGTACTCTTGCCAGAGAAATAACCTTTTTTTAAATGCAACAAGACAGAACTGTGCTGATGCTCTGAATAGAAGAATGAAAACAAGCCACCAGGAAACCTTTTCAAACAGTTATATCTATATAAATTAAATATCAGAACAGTTTTTAGTACTCCTTATGATTGAGCAGAATCAAGCAAACTAATTTTATATCTGTCTCCTATGTGAAAAATTAAGAATTGCTTCAGGAAGGCTATTTTCTCAAAAGACGCTCACTGAAGTACACCAGCCAGTGACCTCTCTGTACCAGCCCTAACCCGACTCCTTAGAGACGTAGCCTCTCAACTTGCATGACAGAAAATGTATTTCCTTGCAAACCTTTCTTCGAGGCATGGAGACTCCTTCCTCCCCTGTTCTATAGAGCTCCAAAGTGCAGATAAAATCTCTGCCCAACTAGGGTCAACAGAAATTCTGTCACTATTCTTCACAGGACAGAAAATCTCATTAAATTCATTGAATCTAGATTTCATTGCCTATGATATCCTTTCAAGCTAACTTGTGTAATCAGGAGCATTCCTCAGAGCTCAGGGCAGAACAACTGGAGCAAGGTGTGGAAGCACCATCATTATTCATGGGTGTTTTTTTACTTTATCTACCTTTGATAAAGGACAATTCACTGCTTTTCAGTTTTGCAATAAGGCATCTGAATAGGCAGGCAGAGTGGGCCATCAGAATAAAACATACTAGAAACAGTTAAGAAATCAATAAAAAATAACAAAACAGGATGGAAAATGAAGGAACTTCGATATACTGCATAATGTCCATGTTTGTACATAAAGTGCCTGCATGTGTATACATTAGGGACCTTACTTACCCAGGCAAGTTTCCACAAGTAAAAGATAAAAATTTAAGTCTCAAGAATTTGCAGATATGATCTATTTTATACGAAGGCTAATTCATATTTGAAGTGGCTCAGGTGCTGGTGTGGGCCCACAGCACCCTTGGCAGGACACTGGTATTGGCAGGAGCAACAAAAAACCAAAAATTCAGCTCTACCAGTATGTGAAATCAAATGGCTGAGAGCTGTAGTTTCACTTATATTTCACATTTTGCAAACTGCATATACAGAACATAGTCTGAATTTATTTTGAAACAACAACAATATGATTAATAATCTCAGAGTATCTGTTACTACTCCTTGTCACCTTGTGTCACTTTTGCTTTCATGCTGCCAACCTCTAGACATCATTATATGACATACAAACACAGCAGCAATTAGGGTGACTGTGTTTTAAGAAATCCTGAAATAACTTAGCTAGTTGTTTACCTGTTTGCCTACTTTAAACACAACTCTGTATTGAACTC